ACTCACGACCTTCTCCTGCCCGCGAGAAGGAGCCGGAGCAGCCTGCAAGCCAGCAGACCGCGCCGTCAGCGGGGAACTGAAGCGCACTAGACGCTTCTTACAAGCCCAGCCGTCGGGGGGTCGGCCAGGCCATCCGGCAGTGGAGCTGCTAAGAAGGTGAGTACGTAGCCTCGAAATCTCTCAGGTCCCCCTCTTGTGCGTGTAAACACGCGCACGTCAAAGGCCGTCTCAGCCTGAGGTGGAGGGAGAGAATGGGGATCTGCTCTGGCGCTGGAAGGAAGGCGATGCTGCTTCTGCCTTTTTCAGTCGGAGGAGGCCTGGCTTTCGCACTTTTGACGTTGGCGTAGGCTGCGACCGAAGCTTGGCGCTGAGCAAACGCGCCCGAGCATCCCCTCGACCAACTTGCCAAGGGCGAGCATCTTTCCTGATATGGGGGTTTGTTTATATGTGTTTGCAGGTGATGGGCCCTCCGGGGTTTTGGCTCCGTCCTTCTTCTCTGTCTCCTATTTGTTGACCTTTTTTGTTCAGTATTTTCGTGCTGTTCTGCTTCCCATACAGTATCACGAATGCTTTCTGCTAGGTGATAAGCAATGGCTTGGTAGATGAGGGAAAATAATCTGATTTCTCATCCTGTTCAGTCCCACTTATTCTGAAGAAGAGAAAAATAGATGGATGTCTCCATTGTTATTTTTGTATGCGCTTTGTTTCCCATAGAGGAATTCAAACATAAATACTTCTTAGTGCTATACTGGGACCCTGACTTAATTGGAATATTCCAGTCATGTAGCTGCTGACAGTTGTTTAAAGAAGTATCCGAAATTTACGCATTGTTTTTGTGTTTTGCTTGCAAAAGTTAATGAATAACAATAATTAAGTCCCCATTGGGAATTACTGCCTAAGGGGGAAAAAATCCTTGGATCTTAAAATCCTGCTGCTATCCTCTCCAACTTAAAAGAAAATGCATTTCAACATGCAGTGTTTATTAGAAAGCCAGCGTTTACACCATTGCCGACTTAACTGTAGGTGTCAGACTCTGCTTTCCCTGGCATGATGATGGCTACATGTATATACTCTTTGCAGTTTTATGCTCCCTCCCAAAGAGGCCAGTGGAGGGCTTCCTGTTTGTTTTCAGGCTGCATTCAGCAGTGTGAGTAGTAGTAACATAGGCGTCTCCCTACAGTCTCTCCAATTAGTGTATAAATGTTTCATTTCTTTAAGGAGTGTCAGTAATTTGGGGGTGTTGTTGCAGACTTGGAAGAGTGTTTTTTTGTCACTTGTTGGTAGTGTCGGCTTCTATATCAGTTGTTATTTGAAAAAATGTCAACTATATTAGAGATCCATTATTCTCACACAAAGTTTTTTGGGGGGGGTTAAACTGCTGTGAGTTTTCCTGTGAATCTAAATGAGTCCCTGCAGCTTCAAGATTGCAGGCAGGATGTTCACATTTGCCTGACGGATGATCTCAAAGGTACTGCTGTTCAGTAGAATCAAGTTGCATGTTCTGTTCATTTGGTGCTGAGAAGAGTTGCCTATAGGCAAGAGACCACTTAGAGTTCAAAAGGAATTGGTTAACCTAGTGCAGCCCCTTCTCCCCAGTTCTTGGGGCTGAGACACTATGACTACATTTTCCCAACACATGTTGATTTACCTTTTTTTAAATCCACTCCAGAAGGGAGGAGGTTTTACAACCTTTCTCAGACAACTTATCCTACTGCTGAAAAGTTCTAACAGTTGAAGTTTTCTCAGAATCTTATTTCCCTATAATGTAAAACATCATCTAATTCTTTTGGATGGACAGATACATTTACACAATTATCTTCACTAGACTCTTTCCATCTATTTTGATTAAATCAATCATACCTCTCTTAATATTCTGAGTTAAATTTTTAAAAATGTCAAATTATTTAGTGGTGCTGTTTTACCTGATTGTCTGGGGATATTCTTAGTCATATAGGCAAGTTGGTATGAAATTTGTTTTTAGTCTTCTGAAGATATATAATCATAATATTTTAATATAAGGAAAACAACACCAATTTTATTAATACTGAAACATTGTAGGTAAGTCACTAGATGCTACTGTGTAACAAGGGAGCCCTAATCTTTAATTGAAGCATATGAACATAATGTGGAGGAGGCATTCAGACTAGCAGTTCATTTTAGTTGCACATAATTTTGCCTTCTCCTTACTGGCTTTTATATCTGAGTGTGTGGGTGCTTCTGCTTTGGCATCTTAAAAACATTTAATGGCATCACAATTTTAATTACAACTTAAAGTTGATATATTTTTTAGGCTCTACATTTTGTCAGTGTGTACCTTGGGAAGTTTTGTTTATTGTGATTAATTTTCTGCAAAGTTTAAAGACATGGAAGAGCTGTCAGAAATTCTATCTGTGTGGTAATGTTGGCAGGGAAAAAGATTTAAGCACTGAGATAGTTAAAAGTTATGGTTTACAGGTGTGTTGCCAAGTATCTGTACAATAGTCTTCAGAATGACAAGACACAAGAATTATGACTTGACTTTTCTCTGTTCAGTTACGTATTCTGAAGATCCATGTTGTGTTCTTGGTTTAATAGCTTATGTTATAGGAGCAGCAAAGCCCAGCAGGGTGTGTGTTTTGTTGTGCAATAATGTTTGGTGGCTGAAAGCCATTTTTCACTTTCTGTCTTGCAACAGGCTTTGGGATTGGATGTTAGTAGACAACATCTGTGCATAGTTCTATCTTACAACATAAAATATTCTGCAAGATTAACATCAGGTGGATGCACACAACTCTTTGTTTTTGTTTTACAGAAGTCTTCTTTCTTTCTGTTGCTTAGTGCATTTGAAAATAATTGGTTTGTTGAAAAATGGACATCTTTTGAGAGGACTTGATGCTGAGTGGCAGCCTGCACCAAAAATGTTGACTGAGTTTTTCAAACTGTAAAAGTAAACTTCTGTCTTTCACATCTCTGCAATTCTAATGTGCATATTTCCATTTGCTCCCCTAGGTATTTTTTCCCTTCTCTCTGACTTCCATATGTGGTCTTCCTCCTTTTTTAGGCATTTATTTCTGTCTTGTTTGACCATTACAGTTTTGAATGTGGGCTTGTATATGCATATATTTGGAAAAGATACAGTATAGACTGGAACATGATGTGAAAATTGTCAGATATTGTCATTTACTCATAATGATTGACTTACTCTACAGGATAGTTCTAAGGATAACTAAGAAATATTTCATCATTCAAAAAGCACCTTGTGTAATAATAACTATTTCTTACTAAAGCTGTTGTGATGACATGAAGACGGCGATATCTGCATATCTTACTCTACAGTTCTAGGAGTTGGTGCAAGAGGCTTCTGTTGTGATAAAATGCTTGTATTGTAGTGACATATGCTAGAATTTAGGGTCATAGTACTGATCCTGGAGTCAGTAAGGTATGTAGAGGTGAAGAAATATGTTGCTATTGAGTTTAGAAAATGGACTTTGTAAGTATGGGAGTGGAGGTCTGGGGTAAAAATAACACTGTGGTGGGCCTGTCTGTTGCTATGCCAACAGTGCTCTCTGAGCTGTTACATTGTTCAGTTGCAGGTTGCTTTATACAGTATTGGCTTGCCAAAAAAAACCTATGTTTCCTGGCATGGCTGAGCTGCATGACACAGTGGGTAGAGGTATATAGCTGGGCAAGAGTAGATGTGCCATTTAAGGAAGTTTCCCTGTTTCAGTTATGACTGAGGAACATTCATATCTGTGGCCAGTGGTTTATGGTTTGCATACTGAATGGCTGTTGTTAGACTGAACTGAGCCATCCCTGTTTATATCCTTAATTTTGTTATATTTATATTATGCTTTTACTTCAGGGGTTACAGTTCTCTGCCTGTTGCCCTCACAGCAAGCAACATGAATAGATAAAGAGTGACTTCTTGGACAATCTCAGACCACGAAAGGTCTTGGGCCAGCCTTGTGTGTGTCTTGCAAACTGCTTCCTTTGGGGCAGTTGTGTTTGACATAATGAATTGGTCTGTGGCTCTTTCTGTAGTGTATGCAGGCCTGTGACAGAATTCTGCATGCGTTGGTTTCCTGGCCCTGTGAACTATGTGCAGGAAAAGGTGAAGGGAAAGAAGGGAGTTTGTGCTTCTTTTGAATTAAACTTTTTTACCTTTGCTTCAGGTAAAGCCGCAAAATTTATGTCAAAATGTGTAGGATTTTGTTTTTGTTTTTCATTTTTGTACATTTCTTCACTGCTTGGATAACGTGGACACGCAAATAAGTACCCACTACTTTTCCATGGAAAAGGGGGATCCGACTGAACTGTCTATGACTATATCTTATTGTCCCATGTTTCTGAAGTGTTGGAATATATTCTAGAAATAGTAGAAAGCAGTATTTACCTGTGCTGTTGAAGAATCTTGCTTCTTTTGGCTGGAGGTGTGTACTTTTAAGAGAACCAATGTGATACAATAATTAAAATGTTGAACTGGGACTGAGAAGACCCAGTTCAAGTCTTTCTTGACCAAATTGGTGACTTAACCAACTTAACCAATCTTTCAGCCTAGATAAGGCTGTCTTGATGAGATAAATTGAGGGAAGGTTTCCATGAGTGCTGCCTTTTGTTTCAGCGGAAAGGCAGGATACCTGTGCAATAATAACAACAAACTAAATAGAACTATAAGAGGACTGATGACTGACTTTCTTATTTATTGTACCTGGAAAATGGAGATGCAGGGGCATGCAAAATGCATGAACCAGTTTGAGAAAAATCTAGTGTTACTCTTAAGAAAAATAAATATGGCTTGTTCTACTTCTTGGTATACCATCAACCTTTTAAAGTTCTCCATTAGCTCCTTTCCCATCAGCCTGCTAGAGTGGCTATGACAATATTCTGTTCATCCTTTAAATGCAAGTAGATAATATATCCCTGAAAGTGTGATCTTTGCTTTGAAATCTCAAATACTATAGAATAATTGACTAAGAAATGTCAATTTGCATTTTTATTTACGCTACCATATATAACCTAATATATAGCCTGTAGCTAATCATGGTGAACATTTGAAACTCAGAATCTGACCTCCAAATAAACAAATAGAGCCAGTGCTCTGTGCTGAATATCTGCATATGTCAGCCAGAAATACTGCTGGAACCACTTTCATATGTATCAGTCAGAAACATGGAGCC